CATTTATAATGGCTTATCACATGTAACATCATATATAAAATCTCCTTTCTTCTTTTTTAGTTTAATTTTGTTTTGTTCTTTTGAGACAAGATCTACTGTGGCTCCAGTTGGCCTAGAACTCACTATGTAGACCAGGCTGACCTCAATCTCACAGATATCCACCTGCCTCTGCCTCCTGAATCTTGGAACTAAAGGCAATTGCCACCATACCCAGCTTCCTTTTTTTGAGTTGGTCTCACACTATATTTCCCAAACTGGCTGGAACTCCCAAGTTCACAGTGATATTGCTGCCATAAGCCCCTTACTAGCTGAGACTACAGGCACACACCATCACACCCAGCTCTCCCCTCACCTTCTATCACAACAGACTTTGTCAGTGCTCTATAGTGTTAATTATCAACTTGGGAGCATATAAACCCATACTCAAGAGCAAACTAGTTCACTGCTTAGTACAATGAATTCCAGGGAATGTGAACCGTTATTTAGCAACTCCTACTCACATGTGCTTACAGACTGAGAAAGTACACCAAAATGGGGGTTTGAAGTGAACATTATTTCAACAGCGCACAAAGGATGCTACAAATCTCAGTTCCTAATCACAACAGTTATACCATAATAACTGATAAAAACGCTACCTTCCTTCCTGTAAATCCACAAGTTTACATCTGAGAAACAGTCCTCTGGGAAGTTTCTCAACAGGAGGGCCTCTAGGGGAGCTGTGTACAGTATGAGGCTGCAAATAAATCAATTCTGTAGGTTTTGCTTTTGGTTTTGTAGCTATTTCTCTATCCTGCGTGACAGAAGCAACCTTTACAATCTTGGTGTTGCCTTCAATGGTGAATTAGATGCTTGCAAATTAAAATGCATTTAATTGGCTTTGTTAACATTATTAATTCCTAAAAGATGCCCCCCACCCCACCCTCGGGCTCCTGTTGTTAATATTCTGCTGATGATTTTGAAATTAAAAACTTTCTCAGATTTACTTTTCCTAAAATAACATCTCAGCCATATGTGTGTGTCTGTGTATCACTGTATCTTTTATTATTTTTTTATTTTATACTATCTACTGACAGTCCATCATTATGAAGGAATATTTGAGAGTGCCAGGCATGGTGGCACAAGCCTTTAATCCCAGCACTCTGGAGGCAAAGGCAGGCAGATCTATGTGAGCCTGAGGCCAGCCTGGTCTACATAGTGAGTTCCAGGCCAGCTGGGGCTACAAGGAGACCTTGTCTCAAAAAAGGAAGGAGGGGAAGGAGGTATTTGAGCCGCGCTTGGTGGTACACACCTGTAGTCCCAGCACTTGGCAGGCAGAGGCAGGCAGATCTGTGAGTTCAAGGCCAGCTGGGGCTACAGCTACAGGAAGATCAAAAAAAAAAAAAAAAAACCAAACAAACAAAAAAACACAAAGTACTGGAAGAATGTTGATCAACTAGCAAACAATAGCATTTCTTTTCCTTTTTCTCCCCCAGTATCTCCTGCTGGCCTGGAACTCCGCATGTGCCAAGGCAAGCCTTGAAATCATAGAGATCCACATGCCTAGGCCTCTGCCTCCCAAGTTCTGGGACTACAGGCATGTACCACCACACCCATCTAATTTCTTTTCTTGGATTTTTCGAGACAGGGTCTCCCTGTAGTCCCAACTGTCCTGGAACTCATTATGCAGACCAGGCTGGCCTTGAACTCAAGATCCATCCGCCTCTGCCTCCCAAGTACTGGGATTAAAGGCATGCGCCACCATGGCCGTCTTTTCTTTTTTTTTAATCTAAGGCAGGGTCTCACTACATATCTGAGGCTGGCCTTGAACTCCAAATCCTTCTGCCTCAATCTCCCAAGTGCTAGGATTACAAGTGTGCACCACTACAGTTGGCTTCTAATTTTTGCTTTTTCAACTAAGTTTAAATAGACTCAAAGAGCCAATGATCAGCAACATACATACAGAGTTTCCCTAATGAACTGAAAAATCTTCCATCTACAGCTTAAGAAAATGGACAGACTCCTCCATATAGCCTTGAAGAAATGGAGGCAATCTGACTCAGAGCCAGGGGGATTTAGTGCCTCATCTCTCCCTACCATTGTCTTCTAGTCCACCTTAGTAGCCCCCACTCCACCCCATACACACATACCTGCCTCTGCCTCCCAAGTACTGGGATTAAAGGTCTGTGCCACCATACCTGGCAGTTTAGACTCTCTTTATCTAAATCTCACAACTGCTTCATTTATAAAAATAAAGATGAAAATACACTAATTTTGAATGTTGAAAACAAAACCAAAAAAAGAAGCAAATAAGCTTGTATTTAATAAGTACTCATTACCTTTTTTTCCTGAGCTCAAACTTTTGGAAACAATTTAAAAACCATAATTCCCCTCCTAGATGTCTGTGAGCCTGGGGATTCAAACTGGGCCAATGGGCTAGACCAGGGGGATACCAAGATGAATTAGGCCAGCTGGTCATGGTGGTGCACTCCTATAATCCTAGCAGTCAGGAAGCTGAGGCAGAAAAATCACTTTGGATTTTAAGCCAGCCTGGGTTAAATAGTAAGTTCTAGGACAGCCTGAGCTACAGGGTGAGACCTTAGCTTTAAAAAAAAAAAGGCCAAAATAAACAAAGAAAAAGATAAATTACATCAAAATCCCTGCCCTTCAGAAACTCAAAACCCAGTGTATGACAGAAATCTATAACTTAAATATGACCATGCTCAAAGAAAAATGTAAAGTGATGTGTTCACACAGAGGAGGTAACAAGTCTTCTGTGTGGAATGAGGGCTCACAGTGTAGGTGGTATAGACAGCTGACCCTGACACCCCTGAAACTGACACCCCAGAAAAGGAGGAGAATTGAGATGATAACCTTTCTCAGGTTAGGCAAACAGCATGTGCAAAGGGAGACCAAAGACTGAGGACTATCAGGAAGCTTTGTTTCGGAGTCAGACACCTTGGTTAAATCACATCTTACCCTTTTGTGGGGTAGCCTGGGGCAGCCAAAGAAATTCTGTATTCCCTTTTCTCATCTACAGAATGTGAATAATAATGTCTAATTCAAAGGAAAGATTAAACATGAATATGAAGCATATAATAAAAACTGAGAAGATGGTAGTTGTTGCAAAAATTAGGTGTTCCGAGCATCCAGAAACCCAAAGATGGAATGAGACTTAAGAGACTTCTTTCAGCCTGTCTAAGAAAGGCCAAGTTAAGGACTGGGGCCAGTGACATGGCTCAGTGGGTAAAGGCTCTTGCAGCCACGTGTCACAACCTGAGCTCAATCCATGGGACCATATGAGAGGAGAGAACTGAACTCATACAAGTTGTCCTCTGACCTTCCACATGAGTGCTGTGGCACAAAACATGCACAAGCATATAAACAAGTAAATCTAATAATAAAAAAATTTAAAGAATTTGGATTAATTGCTGAGGACAAGACCATAGAGGATTTTCATCAGAGGGAAACTTAAATACTTGCTTTAGAAAAAGACCTTCATGAAGCTAGGTGTGGTGATGCACGCCTTTAATCCCAGAACTAGGGACAGAGGCAGGCCGATCTCTGAGTTCGAGGCCAGCCTGGTCTACATAGCAAATCCCAGGCCAGCTGGGGCTTACAGGGAGACCCTGTCTCAAAAAGACACACACACACACACACACACACGCAAAAAAAAGAGCTTCATGAAGCATAAGGACTCATGAAAGAGGACAGATTAATTCAAGTAATTTCAGTAAGACTGGGAAACAAGGCATGCACTCACAAAATCTTCCTAAACAGAAACCCACAAGACTTTGGGGAATTTGAGCATGGAAATAACTGATTAACATTCCTTTTATCTAGGTAAATGGTGGTGTCACTGGCAGAAAAAAATGAGGCGAGGTCTGGAATCTGATGATTGTTTTGTGCCCACTTCCACTCCGGTTTTTGTTCAACGTCCCCGCTAGCCTTTAGTGAACTAATGGTGTCCATTTGTTTCAAGTGACTCCAAATTCAATGTCTCCATCAACCAACTACAGCTCTACCGAAGACGAAATTCAGCTCCTTATCTGTCCTGAGGAGCTAGCTCCAATAGCCTTTTGTATTTCCGGGCTGGCTGTAGCTCCGCGGCACTACCCGGCAGCATTTACAAACGCCAGCGGAGTAGTCTCCGAAGGTCGACAAACCCATCAAGAACTAAGTCAACTTAGCACCTGTGTGCCTCGCCAACGGAGCCAATTAGCGAGAAGACACTCCGCCACATTCAAGATCCAAAGTACCAGTGCCAAGTTATTTTTATAAACTTTGGCCCGTTTTTATTCGAACGACAGGAGCCAACCCCCACCCCCAGCCCAAAACTGTCACTTTGCTTCATCGGGGATAGGAGATCGGGATGACTAAGAGGTGGATAGGAAGGAGAACCGAGCTACGATGGGGGACTACCCCACGCCTTCCTGCAGTTGGAACTTGTCCGCTGTGTGACTATGCAGTCACAAGCCGACAGTTTGCGAGAACCCAACAGTTTCAAAGACGAACGAACTAACTGACCTAACTTTGGCCACCTGCCCTCCTTCCTTCCCCCTCTCGGACCTCGCTGCCTCCCGGTCCCCAAGCCGCGGGCCGGCGGAGGACTGAGGGTCGGGCGACCGCGGCCCAGGACGGGGCGGCTCCGCGGCGCGGACTCCTAGCCGGGTGTCCGGCCTTCTTTCCTGAGGGCGCCTGGCCTTGGGCCTCAACAGCTTCCTCGCCCCGGACCGCAACCGCTGCGACGGAGGGCCAGGTTGGGCTCCGGGAGGAAGGCGGCGAGAACGGCCCAGAGGGATCCGAGGGGTCGGAGGCTGCTCCCGGCGCGGCCTGGCGCTCCCGCCCAGGCTGCGGCCTAGGCGGCCCCGTTAGGTCTCGTCCGCACGCGGCACGGCAGCACTGCGGGACGACGCAACGAGGGAGGGTGGGTGGCGACGCCCCATGGGCCCCCGGGCCGCTGTGAGGGCCCCGGACCCGGGACGCCGCCCCCCGCCTGGCCAGCGCCAGAGAATGGCTTTTACCTTCATCAGCCTCCTGCTGGCCGCCATCTTGGATCTGGTGCTGCTGCTTTCCCAAAATGCATCGCGGTAGGCCGGCGGCCAGAACCCCCGCACTTCCTGGAGCGGGAGAAGCGGGGGAGGGGCGGGCGGGGACGAGCGAGGGGATAGAAAAATGCCTACTGTGTGCGGAGTCCCAGTGCTGAGAGGCGTGGGTGAACACAGGAGCCCGACAGAGTGAAAGACCCCAGAGGAGCATCCAATCCTACGGCTTTACAGTGCCTGGCACATAGTAGGTGCACTATAAATAATTGACTGATCAAGATTATTTCAGGCACTGCTGTGGAGAAATCAAAACTAGGAGATTAGAAAGTGACTGTGGGGTTGAAGAGATGACCCGGTAACATGCCTGCTGTGAAAACCAGAGGCCCAGAGTTTGGAACCCCAGAACCCACACAAAAAGCAAGCGTTGGTGCCTGCACCTGTAAACCCAGCACTAGGGAGGCAGGTACAGGCAGACCCCTGGAATTCATTGGTCAGCCAGCCAGTCTAGCCAAATTGATGAGCTTCCGATTCATTGAGAGACCCTCTCTCAAAACAGAAGAAAGTTGCCCAACCCCCACACCTTTAATCTCAGCATTCCGGTGGCAGAGGCAGGTGGATCTCTGAGTTCAAGGCCAGCCGGGTCTACATAGAGAGTTCCAGGCCTGCTGGGGCTACAGGGAGACCCTGTCTCAAAAAGACCAAGGAGGAGGAGGAGGGGGAGAGGGAGGGGGAGGAGGAGCGCCCAAAGAATAGGAGTAGTTTTTCAGAAGGAGTAAGTATGAAGGCTAGGGTGAAGTTGAAAGACATGGACTATACAATCTTTGTTAATAAAAACAAAATGTGAAATAGAGGGGAGGAGGGGGGGGAGGACGAGGACGAGGACGAGGAAACCTGTCATGGCCTGGTGACATAGGCATTTAATCCCAGCACTTGGGAGGCAGAGGCAGGTGGATCTCTGCAAGTTTGAGACCAGCTGGTCTACATAGTGAGTCTAGCCAGGAGGAGAAGGAGAAAAATAAAAATTATTTTAAAGCCAGCGTGGTGGCCCACGCCTTTAATCCCAGCACTCGGGAGGCAGAGGCAGGCAGATCTCTATGAGTTAAAGGCCAGCCTGGTCTACATAGTGAGTTCCAGGACAGCTGGGGCTACAGGGAGACCCTGTCTCAAAAAGACCAATAAATAAATAATAAATTTTAAAAATTAAATAAATAAATAAATAAATAATAAATAATTTTTTAAAAAGCTTCTGGGTGTGGTAGCTCACACCTTTAGTCTCAGCACTTGCAAGGCAGAGGCAGGAGGATCACTGAGTTCAAGGCTCGCCTGCTCTACATAGCAAGTTCCAGTTCAGCTGGATCTATAGGAAGATCCTGTCTCAAAAAGACCAAAAAAAAAAAAAAAAAAAAGCTGCTGGGAGTAGTGTCATACATTTATAATATCATAATTCTAGCACTCTAGAGGATGAGGTAGAAGAACCCAGTTAGTTCAGGAGGAAGAAACTGTTAAATGGCAGCTCCCCACTTTTGGTGAGTTGCAGAATTGAGGCAAGGTCTCAGGTAGATCTTCTTGCTTCTTCTGTAAAGTTCTGGGAGTACCTTTGAGTCATCCATCCTCCATCCTCCTATATGTAACCTCAATAAACTCATTGGATGGAATTTTTTTTTTTTTTTTGGTCTATCAGTACCCTATCTGAGGTAGAATACGCCAACCAAGAGAAGTCACATGACACCAGTCAGTGAGACTTGTAAACCAGGTCACCAAGGATCTTAGACCCCTTGGCTCAAGAGGACTGAGGCTCTGTGAACACAGGACTGGCAATGTAAAACGACCTGAGTTGTGAAAGGAATACATTACTATCTCTCAGCATTCCCACAGTGTTGGGGCAAAGTGTGTGTGTGTGTGTGTGTGTGTGTGTGTGTGTGTGTGTGTTCTTTCAGGAGGGCTTTTAACCCAGAAGTTTTCTAATTTGTTTCAAACAATATAACATTTTTTTTTTTTGGTCTTTTTGAGACGGAGTTTCCCTGTAGCACCAGGTGAACTGGAACTCACTATGTAGACCAGGCTGGCCTTGAACTCACAGGGATCCACCTGCCTCTGCCTCCTTAGTGCTGGGATTAAAGGCATGCGCCACCACGCCCAGCATCCAAGAACATTTTTTATGTGTATGAGTGTTTTGTCTGCATGAATGTGTCATGTGCATGTAATACCCATGGAGGCCTGCAGAGGGTGTCAGTTCCCCCTGGAACTGGAGATGGACAGTTTTTAGCTACTATGTGGGTTCTGGGAACCAAACCCCGGTCCTCTGCAAGAGCAGCCAGGGCTTTTAACTGCTGAGCCATCTCTCCAGCTCCAAAGAACAAATTTAATAAATAACAAAAATGAGTTCCCTCTTGTCTACCTCTTCCTCTTCTAATTTTCATGCCTCCTTCTCTTCTTCCTCCCCTTCTCCCACTTCTTCAAAATAGGGTCTCACTATGTAGCCTAGGATGGCCTTGGATTCTCAATCCTCCTGCCTCTACATCCTGAGTATAGGGTTCTAGGCATCCATCACCACACCTGGTCTAGCCTAAGTCTTAAACCAATGCCCTCCTTGGAACCTCATGAGGATCTGCACACTGAGGCACGTTGGTCATTCTCTTCCCTTCATTTCCCAACATAGTTCCTATAGACCTGTAGTATTTCCAAGGAACTCTGAAGCCCTAAGGAACCGAGTTCAAAAGCTAGCCATGTGGGCTGGGAATGATGGCACATGCCTTTTACTGTGTAGTAGTTTCCACATCTTAGAGGGAAGCTGAGTAAATAATAGACTGTTCTAGGAAGTAAACAACTTAATAGATAGAGGAAGTCCCTGAAACTGACAAGATTCACTAGGCCTCTCCCTCCCCAAGCATATATAAGCCCCAAGGACTGAGGAGAGACACTCAGACTAGCAGAGCCACCTGGAAGAAGCAGAGGCCAGCCAAGCTGCCTGGCAGAAGCTCAGACCAACTGAGCTACCAAGCAATATCCAAAATAAAAATAATAAATAAAATATTTTGGCACTGTCCATTTTGGCCGGCTGGCACCGGCAATATTTATTTAAAAAAACTTATTGGTTCAAGCCTGGGCATGGTGGCACACACCTTTAATCCCAGCACCCAGGAGGCAGAGACAGAGTCAGGAGGATCTCTGAGATCAAAGCCAGCCTGGTCTACATAATGAGTTCCAGACCAGCTGAGGCTGCAGGGAGAACCTGTCTCAAAAAAAAATAAAAAATAAAAAAAATAAAAAAATAAGCCGGACATGGTGGTGCACACCTTTAGTCCCAGCACTTGGGAGTCAGAGGCAGGCAGAACTCTGTGAGTTCAAGGCCAGCCTGGTCTACATAGTGATTTCTAAGCCAGCTTGGGGCTACAGGGAGACCCTGTCTCAAAAAGACCAAAACAAAAAAACAAAATAAAACCATACCTCATTGGTTCACCAAGTTGGCCTTTTATGATATCCTTACTATCTGAGGTGAGTAAATGTTTGTTCCTTTCCCCAGAAATAGTGTCACATCCCACTTTAATCCCAGCATTGAGAAGCAGAGGCAAGTAGATGATTCTGAGTTCAAGGTCCACATGGTCTACATGGTTCCAGGCCAGCCAGGGCTACATAATGAGACCTCAAAGTAAAACCAACCCCCCCCCAAAAAAAAAAAACCACCAATAAAATCTATCTCTTTTTCTTACATTTTATAGGTAAGAAAGGAAAATGAGACTTAGAAAAGGCAGTCACTTGGATTAATCCTACCTTCAAATCTGTAACTATTATAGACTTTGGGCACAGTGATGTGCTAGGCCCCACAGAGGAACAGAGTAAAGACAGAGACATGGCCCCTGTTCTACCCAAGCTCAGAGTCAATATACAATCACTATGTAGTGTGAGTTAAGAATGGCAACTGGAGAAGCTCTGCTTTGTCAAGCTTCCCACCACCTTCTGGAATACTTATGACGCAGAGGGATTCTGGCATGACTAGCAGCCAGATGGTGAGTGTGGAGACTCCAGTGATCCACAGCTCCCCTCCTAGATCCTCTCCCTGGTGGTAGGCTGTCCTCCAGACATGACAGCTATAGGCCTCACTTAAGGCTTGTAGCAAGTTATACAAGCTCTGGAGCTCCACCACCACTAGCACCACCATGATAAACCATGTTAATTTAGCCATAGTAGTCCAGATGCCCTGGAGAGCCACCTACCCCCATCAGATCCGCCTCTGTAAAAGTGCCGTGGTAAGGGTTGCATGAAGACCACCCTTCTTGTGGCTGCCACACTAAGGGACCCCTGAACAATTCAAGGCTATGGCCATCATCCTAGTTTCTCACTTGCCATCCCATCCAACATCTGCCTCGACTCTGAAAATAAATATCTTGAGCCATAATTCTAGAGCTCTTGTTTCCCAAAGGCATTTCCTATGGGCTTAGGGGAATCTGTTTTTTAAAAAGGTATAGCAGAAAGCTGCTAGTCAACAGACTGGGTGCTGAGTATATACAGTAGTGGTAAGAAGTCCCAGGTACTGCCAGGTGTGGTGGCACAGACCTTTAATCCCAGCACTTAGGAGGCAGAGGCAGGCGGATCTCTGTGAGTTCAAGGCCAGCCTGGTCTACATAGTGAGTTCCAGGACAGCTGGGGCTACAGGGAGACCCTGTCTCAAAAAGACAAAAAAAAAAAAAATCTTATTTCTTATTTGCAATGCCCATGGAGATCAGAAGAGGGCATCAAATCCCCTGGAACTGGAGGTATGGATAGTTGTTAGCTGCCATGTGGGTACTGGGAACTGAACCTGGGTCCTCTGCAAGAGCAGCCACTGCTCTTAACAGCTGAGCCATCTCTCCAACCCCAGATGTGATTCTTTTTTAAAAAAATTTATTTTATTTTATTTTATGTGTATGCATGTATTGCCTGCATGTAGGTAAGTGCACCCATGTCGTGTGATGCCTGAAGAGGCCAGAAGAGGCTGTCAGATCCCCTGGAAGTAGAGTTATGGACAGTTGTTTAGCTGCCATGTGGGTGTTCAGATTCGAACCTGGGTCTTCTGCAAGAACAGTCAGTGTTCATAACTGCTGAGCTATCTCTCTAGCCCCAAGATGTGTTTATCTTTTAATAAAGTTTGTTTGCTTCTTGCCCTCTGCTGGCCTGAGATTTTTTTTCCTGCCTTTTAATTCTTTAATTGGCTGAGAAAATGAACCAAACCTTACCCCTAGACTGACAGTGTGCCAACCTCGACAGTTTTTGTTGCTGTTATTGCTTGGGGTGGGGAAGTCCCCTGTTCATGATCTCACAAACAACCTGGCTGAAGTCTAACCTTCATTCCTGGCCCAGCTTGAAGCCTCACCCAACACCTCAATGGGCAGTGCAGACCCTAAAGGTTTAGGCCTTCTGCCAGCTGGTATTTGAGTGTTGAAACCAGGTAAGCCAGGAAGCCAAGCTGGTTAGCACCCTCTATGCTCTTCCTGTCTACATGGCCCTGGTTCTCTATTACACCTCGAGTGAGAGGGACATTCCAGTTTTACTTCCTCTAAGCCCACTCTGGGAAGAGACCCGAAGGTTTATCAGACACATCCATTCTCCAAAAGGCGGAGCAGCAAGTGGGGTGATTAGGGCACCACAGGAGCTGTACTGTTTTGGGAAATCCAGGCCTAGTCTGGAACATCAAGGAAGGCTTCCTGGAGAAAGAAACTACCAAACTGAGGCTGAAGGATAAGATAAAGTACATAGCACGTAAGAGGACAAAAATAACTTTTGATGAGCTGGAGAGATGGCTTAGTGGTTAAGAGCACTGACTGTTCTCGGAGAAGACTGGGTTCGAATCCCAGCACCCACATGGCAGCTAGCAACTGTCCGTAACTCCAGTTCCAGGGGATCCAACAGCCTCTCTGTCTTCCTTGGGCATTGCACAACACAGGTGCACTTACCTACATGCAGGCAATATATACATACACATAAAAATAAATAAAATTTTAAAAACTAGGATTTGAGCTAGTTGAGGTGGTTCAAACCTATAATTCCAGTTACTTGGCAGACTAAGGTAGGAGCTTTACAAGTTCAAAGCCAGCCTTGGGCAATTTAGCTAGACCCTGGCTCAAAATAAAAATTAGAAAGGGCGATGCTGGGCGTGGTAGCACACACTTTTAATCCTAACACGGGAGGAAGAGGCAAGTGGATCTCTGTGAGTTCAAGGCCAGCCTGATCTACATAGTGAGTTCCAGGACAGCTGGGGCTACAGGGAGACCCTGTCTCAAAAAGACCGAAAAAAAAAAAAACATTTAGAAAGGGCAGGTGGGCATGGTGGCACATGCCTTTAACCCTAGCACTCAGGAGGCAAAGTCAGGAAGATTCCCCTGATTTCAAGGCCAGTGTAGTCCACAGAATGAATCCTTGTCAAAAAAAAAAAAAAAAAAAAAAGTTTTTTTTTAAAGACTGGGGACTGAGGACATAGCTCAATGGTAAAGTGCTTGCTTAGCATCCATAAGGTCCTGGGGCTCAATCACTAGTACTACACACACACACACACACACACACACACACACACACGGAAGCTGGGGATATAGCTTAGTTATAGAGCATTTGCCTAGCATGTTTGAGGTTCTGGGTGCAGTCTTGTTGATTCAGAAAGGCTCAGTGGCCAACTCCTATAATCCCAGCACTTGGGAGAGAGAGAGAGAGAGAGAGAGAGAGAGAGAGAGAGAGAGAGAAATATCGGGAATTCAAGGCCAGCCTCAGCTTCGTGGTAAGTTTGAGACCAGCTTGGGTTATGTGGGACCTTGTCTCCAAAAGAAAACAAACAAACAATGCATTCAAGAAGCAGAGGCATATCTCTGTGAGTTCAAGCCCTGCTTGGTCTACATAGTGAATTTTAGGCTATAATGAGATCCTCAAAAAACCAAAACCAAAACCAAAAATGAAACAAACAAAATAACAATAAGCAAACAGAACATCTCTATTTACCCCAAATTGGACACAGGCTCAGAAAAGACTTGAGAATAACTTGAGCTTCCAGTACTGCACTAATTAATCTAAAAATTCAGTGCAAACAGGAAGTGAGGCTGAGACAGAATTACAAATGATCTGGCTGAAAGATTATAGAGATGACTCAGAGGTTGAGTGCTGCTCAATCATGAGAACTGAGGTTCAGATCCCACAACAGCAACTAACAACTACCTGTAACTCCAGCTCCAAGGGGGATCTGATGGCCTCTTCTGTCCTCTACAGAAAGAGAGAGAGAGAGAGAGAGAGAGAGATCTTAATTTTGCAAATTTGAATTCCCACTTAGTTACTTCCAAGTTGTGTGACTGTGGAAAGTTCCTATCCCTCTTAGCATTCTTAATGCATGAAGGTTAAGATGACTCAAGAAGCCAGGAGTGGTAGTGCACACCTGTAATTCTGGCCCTTGGGAGGCAGAAGCAGGAGGATTATAAATTCAAGGCCAGCTTCAGCTACACAGTAAGTTTAAGAACAGCCTGAACTGCCTAAGACACTGTCTCATTCCCTACAGCCATCTGCCTACCCCCTAGTCTCCACCTCCCCCCCACCTCGGACAAACAGGCTGGGGATACAATTCAGTGATAGGCATGGATCCCCAGCAACTGGCGGACAGGTAGGTGCCTCAGACCTCAGACTGAACCAACCCAAGACCAATGATTGAGACTTCTCATCTGGGCATAAGAGGTTTCAGAAGCTAATGTAGGCAAAGGCTGAGTGTGGAAGGGTCTCTTGAAGAGTGGGCACAGAGGAGTACAGCCACATTGGGCAACCTCACCCACTTAGGGGCTCAGGGCTCATCCACAAATTGTAACGAGTTTTTAGTCATCTACATCAAACGCACTAGGAGAACCCCTGGTAGGGTCAGGTGAGGTCTGCCCACACTCCATCTGTATCCTTTACCCGTGCACTTGATACCTTTCTTCAGACCCAGTAGCAGAGAGCATCCAGGCTTCCTACCCGGCATACTGGCCTGGAAGGGGTCGCACAGTGGCCAGGGGAGTGTCGGCAACGGGTCACAAGCGCCATTAAAGCAAGAAAAGTGAGCTCAGAAACATGTCCGGGGCATCCTGGAAAGTTCAAGGGGGCCAGTTCTAGCAGGGGTCTCAGGAGCCCTATTCTGCCTAGGTATCATCTAGGGAGAGAGAAGAGGCGCTCTGCCCCGGGGAAAGACCTCAGGTTATCGGGGAACACATCTTCAAGAGGAAGGGGCACGCGGAGAGCTCCAGGGGCGCCGGAAGGGGCGCGCGGGGAGGTTGGCAGCGGCCGGGGCGGCGGCCGTTGGCTAACTGGCCTGCCAAGCGAAGCCTCTTGCCCGGCAGCGGCCACAATGACGAAGGATTCACCCATCCCCTTGGGTGGTGGCCCCGCGTCGCTTAAGAAACCAGGCAGCCCCGGCCCAGCGGCCTCAGTGCTGAAAGAGCAGAAGCGAGAGCTAGAGAAACTGCGGGCAGAGCTGGATACGGAGCGCGCGCGCGGACAGGCGGAACGGCGGCGTTTTGCCACCCAAGCGCGCCAGCTGCGGGAGTCCGCAGAGCAGGAGCGACAGCAGCTGGCTGACCATCTGCGCTCCAAGTGGGAGGCACGGCGCCTCCGGGAGCTGCGGCAGCTGCAGGAGGAGGTGCAGCGAGAGCGCGAGGCCGAGATCCGGCAGCTGCTGCGCTGGAAGGAGGCCGAGCTGCGGCAGCTGCAGCAGCTGCTGCACCGGGAGCGCGACGGTGTGGCGCAGCAGGCTCGGGAGCTTCAGCGCCAGCTGGCCCAGGAGCTGCTGAACCGCGGCTACTGCCGCCTCGGGGGGGCGTCCGAGGTCCCCGCAGCGCAGTGCCGCTGTCGCCTGCAGGAAGTGCTGGCGCTCCTGCGCTGGGAGACCGACAGCGAGCAAGCCGCGCGCATCCGCCACCTGCAGGCGGCGCTAGCAGTGGAGCGGCAGCTCTTCCTTAAATACGTCCTAGAGCACTTCCGCTGGCAGCCCGCTTTGCCTGCACACGCCGACCCCCAAGTCGCTCTTTCCTTGGAAGAACCGACTCCAGAAGCCCAGAGCAATCCTCGCCGCACCCCAAAGCCCTCTGGTGGAGTCGGATCCCTCGAAAGCCAGAGCGCTGGCGTGCGCGTTCGCTCTCGCTCGCTGGATCTGGTACCCGGAGGGTGTTCTAGCTCCCGAGATGACCTGCTGCCCACGCGCGCCTGCTCCCTCGATTCCTTGGCAACCGCCGAACATGCAGGCTCATTCGACAGCACACTGAGTTGCCCCAAGACCCCCGAATCCGAGGTGGAGGCCTCCTCGACAAACGCCTCCATCCCTGGCACCGCTAGTCCCCCATCGCAGCCTCTGCGACCATCAACACACAGGAAACCTAGGGACCTGCTGGAAGAAAGCTCTGAGAACAAGCCCTGCGAAGCTCTGATCCTCTCACCGCCGAGCCTGGATTACCACCAGTTAGTGAGGCAGAACTCGGAGCTGGCCGAGGCGTTGCAGGTGCTGGCTCGCCGCTGCTGGGACCTGCGCGAAGAAAACGTGCAGCTGAGGCGCGCAGGCTTCTTGGGCGAGGCAGATGAGAAAATAAAGTGGCTCAAGGTGAAGAATGCAGAGCTGACGGATCTCGCCCAGCGCCTTGAAGACAGGGCCCGCAAGCTGCAAGAGACAAACCTGCCGGCTGTGAGCTCACCTGAGCTGGGCGAGAGCCTCGAGGGCCTGGAACTGAGCCAGGCTTTTGCCCGCCGGCGCGCTCAAGACCTGTCAGAACAGGCTGGCGCGCTGTTGGCCAAGGACCAACAGATCGAAGAGCTCAGGAGGGAGTGCCACCTGCTGCAGGCGCGCATCGCCACGGACCTCGGTAGCTCCTCGCATTCGGGAGAGGGCGCCCACTGCGCGCAGTGGTTCAACGTCAGTGACTTGGACAGGCTGCAGCGTGAGTCCCAAAGAGAGGTGTTGCGCCTGCAAAAGCAGTTGACACTGCATCAGCGTAAGGTCGGCTCTGAGGCGAAGGAGGGCAGCCTCAGCGAACAACTTGAGGAAGCGCGACACCAAGTGCAGACGCTGGAGAGGAAGCTGGACGCACAGCAGCGGGAGTGCGAGGATCTCAGCTCTCAGGCTGCCGCTGCGCAGCGACGCTGCCAGGATGCCGAGGCACAGCTGCAGGCAGCTCTGCGCCAGGGCGCCTGGCTGTCAGAGGAGAACGCAAGGCTGCAGGTCTTGACCAACTGGGTGAAGAAGATGGCAGATGACAACAGCAATGTTCCCCAGCAGCTAAGCCGCGGGAGGCAGGGGCCAGAAGTCGAAGCCACCAGCCTGTTGGTGGAGCAGCTGCTGCAACAGGCGATGTGCGGGCAGGACAGACTGCAGCAGCTGCAGAACTACCAGAACAAGACCCCAAGTGACCTCCAGGTTGCCAGGAAAGAGATACGGGGGTTGCAGTGTCAGTCTGACCACATCCCAGAGCCACTGGAGACCACTCAAGTCCCAGAGTCCCAAGCCAGGGGTAGCAAAAGGCCTAAGTTCAAGCCAAAGTCTGAAGCACAAGCAGTGTCACTGCCTAGCAGGGTCATACAACCTCCTCCTGTTTGTCTCTTCCTGAAGGAGAACCCTGTTGCCCTTGGGGAACCATCTAGTGTTCCCCAAGTGTCAGACAGAAACCCTGTCAGTCAGCCTCTGGACTCTAGGTTCCAGGTCAAGAAATCCAGTTCACAGTCAAATTGTCAGCCTCTGGACTCTAGGTTCCAGGTCAAGAAATCCAGTTCACAGTCAAATTCCTCCTCTGAAGTGGAGTCCATGTGGGCCACAGTGCCATCTTGCCTTTCTCTGGACATGGACACAGCAAGTGAAGTGGATGATCTGGAGCCAGACAGTGTGTCCAATCCCATGGAACTGAGGGACCCTGAGGCTCCCACCACCCCCAAGCTCAAGACCTTCTTGGCTAGGTATAGCTACAATCCATTTGAAGGGCCTAATGAGCATCCTGAAGGTGAGCTGCCTCTCACAGCTGGGGATTATGTATATGTCTTTGGGGACATGGATGAGGATGGTTTTTATGAAGGGAAGCTTGTGAATGGGCAGAGGGGGCTGGTGCCCTCCAACTTGGTAGAGGAGATTTCAGGTAGCCCTGTCTTGAGCTGCCCACTCTCCAAGTCCCCTGACCTTGTCCCCACTTCACTACCAGCTGGTAATAGCAAAACCTTGAAGAAAGACAGCTTGTTACTTGGGGAAGTTCAGGAATCATTGGAAAGAGGGCCATGTCAGGTGGAAAGGGCAGACTCCAAGACAGATACAGCAATAGAGCTCTTGGAGACCAAGACAGAAGCCTGCTGGCTGGGCTCACTACTGAGAGTGGAGGAGCAGAGCTTCCCCAGACCCCTTCTGGAGACCAAAGGAATGTTCTGTGTGGCCCCCATGCAACTACAGCTACAGAGTGTCACAGCTACATCGGCCAAGATTACCTGGGTCTGTGGCAGCAGTCGATACTCCCATGTGGTGTACCTTGAAGACCAGGAGCACACCCTGACTCCCTCAGGTGTGAACTGCTACATCTTCCAAGGCCTATGTCCTGGTACATGTTACCGGGTGAGGGTGGGAGTGCACCTGCCTAGGGACCTGCTGCAGGTACTCTGGGAAAGAGTGTCCTCCACCATCACTTTTGACACACCCTTAGCAGGACCTCCTGACCCTCCACTGGATGTGCTGGTGGAGCACCATACTTCACCAGGTTTCCTAGAAGTCAGCTGGCTCCCTGTGACCATTGACTCAACTGGGTCCTCCAATGGTGTGCAGGTGACTGGCTATGCTGTGTATGTGGATGGGTTCAAGGTAGCAGAGGTTGCTGATGCCACCGCTGGGAACACCCTACTTTCCCAGCTTCAGGTGCCCCTACCATGCCAGAAGGTCTCAGTCAGAACCGTGTCTCTCTATGGTGAGTCTCTGGACTCAGTGCCAGCTCAGATCCCTGAGGCCTGCTTCTCTTATTACCCATTCCTAGGGATTCCTCCTGTTAGCTACACCAATCATCACCCTTCTACTTGCAGAGTTGCCTCTCCTGTCTGTCATCAGAAGCTGTTTTGGGCGTCTCTGAGCACCAAAGCTGGCCTCCACACCCCTGGAAGTTGTGGGGAACCTCAAGCTAAGTTTCTAGAAGCATTTCCTAAAGAACACCCAAGGAAGCAGTCCCCAGTATCCAACCTGAATTCAGAAGGGGCTAGCAACCAAGCCCAGGACCCCATAGAGACCCAGAAGGACTATGGAAAGGACCTGTCCTTTCAGAGGAGTCCCCAGAACCACAAGCCACCTCTGCCCTGTGGCCAGCCTGGGGTAGAAGACCACTCCCAGCACATGTGTACCAGTGGAAGTCCTCCTTCAGGAGTCTTCCCTCTCTCTACAGAACTTGGGCCTGGTAAACCTCTTGAGAAATCTCTTAGGCAAAAGCAGAATGCTGAGATGTTCACCCCTTACCAGCAGGGCTCCAGCCAGTGCTATTCATCTGACTTGCATCATGTTTTGGAGAAAAAAGCCATTTGTTCATATTCTCAGTGCACGGCAAAGCTACAGGAAAGAAAAAACAAGCCCCAGAGTGGGCAAAGACAGGCTCCAGGAGGTAAGAGAGAGCGCCAAATTCACGAGCCTAGCCCAGCGCTGTGCCCAGTTCCAACCAGCAAAGTCATTAAGATGTCAAGTGGTGGCCCCAAGCAACTGGAGACAGAGGGTAACACTCCAGTCAGGGTCTTTGTGGCCCTCTTTGATTATAGCCCCCTGATAATGTCTGTCAACCACAAGGCTGCAGAGCAGGAGCTGGCCTTCCAGAAAGAGCAGCTGCTAAGAGTGAGGGGCTCACGGGATCCCCATGGTTTCTACCATGGAGAGTGCAATGGACAAGTGGGCAAAATCCCTGGGCACCTGGTAACTGAGGTTGAGGTGGGCACAGAGGAGACTGACAAAAGATGGTATTTGCCAGCACAAGGGCATCTGCACTCTGAGGCCCAGTTTGAAGACTTTGAGGGTCTTACCAACTCCCAGGGATCCTTCCTCATGCCCCAAGGGAAGTCCAGGACACCCATGCTGTGGACTCCAAAGACAATGGTGGCAGCTCTGGACTATGATCCCAGGGATGGGAGAGCAGGGTTCCAGGCAAAGGATAAGCTGGTGCTGAGAGTTGGAGACGTGGTCACAGTCTATGGGCCTGTGGATGATAAGGGATTCTACTATGGAGAGTGTGGTGGACATAGAGGCCTGGTCCCGGCCCATCTGCTGGATGATTTGTTTGTCCGTGGAGAGTAAGCATGGCTGCCTTCTGGGTTGGTAGCCTCTGACTGCCCACAGCCCTTTGGAAGAGAAGCAAGCACATATACCTTCATACAACACCCCCTCGTCAGCCACCTTAAGCAACACTGGTTCCAAGCAACAGTGTTAAACTGATGGTAGTTCTCAGATGTCCCCTAGTGTCCAAAAGCAGCAGAGCTTTTCCATTATCAGCATGTCTTTAGCAGGTTAACATTTTCCATTGATTGCCTTGTATGAAAATCTCAAGAAAAGTCTGCATCTTAAAAAGAAAAAGCAATCAGAATGTTATTTTTCTATTTTATGTTCAACCCCTCATTAAAGTATTCAAAGAAAAAAAAAGAGAATACTTCAGAAGTTAAAGTATGACCAGGGAAACAAGCACATCTTCTCTCCCCTCTCTTGCCCAATGGATATGGAACAATGATAGAAATGTTTTCCTGGAAGGAAAGGTGCAACCTCACCCTAGGATGAGCCTCACTCAGGTGGGCTGATCCAGTCGAAGAGGGTCCAAAAAGGCAGAGCCTAGAAATCCCTGTTCCTAAGCTCTGTGCTAGGGTAGGTGGGGTCTGCGTCTCCAGCTAGGAGTTCGACTGCGGTAGCTACAAGTGCTCCCATGTTCCCATGGTGCTTTGTGAGACTATTTCTTAACTTGCCACACTTCCTATTGAGCTTCAAAGGAGCTCTCATGTCAGGTCCCACAGCTCAGAGCCACCACCTTTCATGATCTTACAGGGCTCCCTTTCCAGGAGAGTGAGCATGAAGTGTGGTTTTCATCTCATGTCCAACAATGTTGTCAGAGAAAGGACTCTGCCTTCCCCAGTGTAGTAAAAAATGACTGAGGTAAAAGTATTGACAGGCCAGCTGGTTCCCCTGGGAGAGGAAGGGGGCCAGCTCAGGAGCTTGTCCTCAAAGAATATACAAGCCACATGGAGAGTCATGGTGTACACCTGTGTGCTCAGAAACCAGAGCTAACGGTTGCAGAATGGAGAGGAAATCCCCATGGACTTACAGTGACCCATAAGGAATAGGCTCAAATTGGCTCTGCAATTAGTTAGGGGAGGGCACTGAGACCAACTTACCACTCCAGACTTCATCTCCAACTCTGGAGGGCAGATACTACTTCTTCTTTTACTTCAGTAACTGCAGCTGAGAACAATACCTTTCTCAATTGTTTTTATTACATTTATTTATGTGTGTGCGCGCCATGGTACATGTGAAGATCAGAGGACAACTTGAGGGAATTGGCTCGCTCCTTCTACCATGTGGGTCCCAGGGATCAAACTCGTTATCAGGCTTGGTGGCAAGTGCCTCTACCTATTATGACCCATATGGTAAAGAGAGCTGACTCCCTTAAGTTGTCCTCTGACCTCGACACGTGTGCCATGGCACCCAGAGGCCAACAACACACATACATACACTAAATAACTGTAAAAAAAAAATTTAAAAAGAAAAACAGGACTGGTGAGATGGCTCAGCAGGTTACGGCACTTGCTGGGAAGCCTGACCACCTAAGTTTGATCCTTGGGTCTCCCATGACAAAAAGAGAGTACAGATGCCCACAGATTGTCCTCTGACTTACACACACGCACACACACACACACACACACACACACACACACACACATACACCAATAATTACATTTAATAGAATTTAAAAAGATATAAAATGTATCAGTAGTAGAGCATTTGCTTAGAATGTACAGGGCCCAGTGTAACAAAAAAAACTAATTTCTTACCTGACATGGTTGTGCACACCTTTAATCCTAGCACTTGGGAGGCAGAGGCAGGCAAATCTCATGAGTTGAAGGCTAGCTTGGTCTACATAGTGAGCACCAGGTCAGCTGGGGCTACAGGGAGATCCTGTCTCAAAAAGACCAAAAAAAAGAACTTGACTTTTTTTTTTTTTTTTTGAGTCAGAGTCTCTTGTATCCCAAGGTACCCTCAAATTGTCTATATGACTAAGGACAACCTTAAACTTTTGATCCTCTTGTCTCCACCTCCTGAGTGCTGAGATTAGAGATATGCACCACTATACCCAGTTTATGCCATGCTGAGGATTGAGCCTAGCAACTACACTTGCACTAGGGTTTAGTGCAAGCTAGGTAAGCACTATACCAACTACATCACTAGCCACAATCTTAAACTTTTATTAGTATTTTTAATGTGTCTGAGTGTATTGCCTGCATGTTTGTAAGTGTACCATGTCCTGCAATGCCCTGCCCTCAGAGGTCAGAAGGCTTTGAATCCCTTGGAACTGGAGTTATGAACAGTTGTTAGTGCCCATGTGAGTGCTGGGAATTGAACCTGGGCTTCAAGAGCAGTCAGCGCTCTTCACCACTGAGCCATCTCCATCTTTCCAGCACCCCCATCTTAACTTTTAATTTTTGTTTTGTTTTGTTTTGTATTTTTGAGACAGGGTCTCCCTGTCTCAAAAAGACCAAAAAAAATTATTTATTATTTTTATTTTATGTGTATGAGTGTATTGCCTGCATGTATGTGAGTGCACCTGTGTCGTACAATGCTGCAGAGGTCAGAAGAGGGCTTCAGATACCCCTGGAACTGGAGTTAAGGACAGTTCATAGCCTCCATGTCGGTGCTGGGAATCAAACCCAGGTCCTCTGCAAGAGCAGTCAGTGCTCTTAACCACTGAGCCGTCTCTCCAGACCCTTAAACATTTTTAAAAAATATTTATTTTTGTGTGTATGAGTGCATTGCCTGCTTGTAAGTGCACCCATGTCATGCAATGCTACAGAAATCAGAAGAGGGCATCTGATTCCCCTGGAACTGGAGTTAAGGACAGTTCGTCGCCGCCATGTGGGTGCTAGGAATCGAACCCAAGTCCTCTGCAAGACCAGTCAGTGCTCTTAAGTGATGAGCCATCTCTCCAGCCCCTAATTTTTTTTTTTATGAGTGTCTTGCCTGCATCTATGTAAGTGCACCCATGTTGTTCAATACCCACAGAGGCCAGAAGAGGGCACTGGAACGGCACTGGATCCTATGGCTGTTAGCCTTCATGTAGGTTCTGGGACACAAACCCTGGTCCTTTACAGGAAAGACGTTTTTTTGTTTTTTGTTTTTTGTTTTTAACCACAGAGACTCTTAACTGCTGAGCCATCTCTCCAGCCCCCTTAATTGTACAGTTTAAACATATTTGTTTAAACAGATCATTTTGCAAGGAGAAACTGAATCTACCAAACAATAGTGCCCATCCCCCATTGCAGTTCCAAGCAACCAGTAGCTAGATGTGAAACCCTGCCCTAGGGTGCTAAAGTCAGAGTTATGAAGGGGCCACCCATCCCTCAGTTCCAGCCACACCCTTCCTTGCCTGTAATCCTCATCCTCACCAGCCATGTTCCCCCTCTGTTTCTCTAACCTATGCTCCAACAAGTGATCTGGGCAGACCTGCTTCGGCCACATCTGCTTTCTAAGACCTAGTGTCAGAGAAAACAGGAAATATTTTTTTTGACCCTGTAGACCTGGAATCTAGGCCCCACCTGGCCTTGTTTGCTCCTCTTTTTTAAAGATTACATTTATTTACTGGGAGGTGGGGGAGGAGAGGCATGTGAAGGTCAGAGGACAACTTGTGATGTTGATTGATTCTCTCCTTCCACCATGTCCCAGAAACTGAACTCAGGTCATTAGGCTTAGCTTGGTAATACCTTTACCAGAGGAGCCATTTCACTGACTCCTCCTTCCTTCTCAGAGCACCCTAAAATATGATCCATAAACCTACAGGAGCCATCTTGCCAAGGGACCAGGGACAAGTGTCAGGCCTGCCAAGTCCAAGCTACACTATTCTTACAACCTCACTTCTCTAATCCTAAATCACAGAGGCCATGGGAAGTTTTAGTAAATGAATTAAAAAGAAAAAAAAAAAAGAAAAAGTGAAAAAACTGGAAGTGACAGAGCCTTGGAGAGAAGGAGTATCTGGTATTAGGATCTTGACCACTTGGGTCAAATACCAATCTGCTACTGGATAGCTGGGGTTTGATTTGAACCTCAGTTTCCTCATCTGTGGTAGTGCTGTTTTTATTCTGAGCAGATTGAGAGGAAGAACCTTTGGTCTGAGATCAGGACCCAAAAGAAGGTGAAAAAAAGCTGATGACAGCACAGGTTGGGGACTGAGACAGGAAGACATGGCTCTGGGCCCAGCTTTGCTCCTTCAGGAACTCCAAAAACCTGGAGCCTTTGAACAAGGAGAAGGAAAAACTATACAGGTCTAGCAAGGTGCTGAAGGGCAAGAGTGAGCCAGGGAGGAACTGGATACTTGGCTGTGGCCTGTACTGAGCCTCATCCCCGGCTGACCATATGGCTAAGCCTATCCAGTTCACACCCATCCAGGAGGTGACTGAGGATGATGGGAACCCTGCTTGACCAGAGGAGCCTATGTCGTGGTCAGAAGGACAGTCAAGCACAGGGGTGACTGAGCCCATCTTGACAGTGTTCACCTTAGCCAGAAGGAACCTGTGGCCCATGTGTCCACCACCACTTGTTCCTGACTTGCTCCCTCTCACCCTCTGCTCCCATATATTTTCAAAACTAAAGATGGATTGATCCAGCTGGGTGTGGTAGCAAGATGCTATCTCAAAATCAGGATTAGAAATATAACTCAGTTGGTAGAGAGTGCTTGCTTAGCATGCATGAAGCATAGATCCCCCAACACCAAATAAAATGGCATAGTGGCTTATGCCTGTAACCACAGTATTTAGGAGGGGGAGGCAGAAGAATTAGTAATTTTTAAAAAATATTTTTATTTTTTATGTGTATTCATGTATTGCCTGCATGTAGGTAAGTGCTGTCGTGCAATGTCCACAGAAGACAGAAGAGGCTGTCAGATCCCCTGGAACTGGAGTTATGGACAGTTGTTAGCTGCTATGTGGGTGCTGGGATTCAAACCTGGGTCTTCTGCAAGAACAACCAGTGTTCTTAACCGCTGAGCCATCTCTCCAGCCCCAAGAATCAATAATTTAAGGTGGTCCTCCTCAGCACCATGTATAGTTTGATATCAGCCTGGACTGTGTGAGAACCTATCTCAAAAAAAAAAAAAAAATCAAATTGAAAAGACTATGATGGAGCAGGCCTAGAATCCTACTACTCAGAAGATAGAGGCAGCTGAATCTCTGCAAGTTTGCAGGCCACCCAAGTCTATACAAACAAGTGAAAGTACAGTATGAAGGTTGCACATAGGTTCGGAGGTTCTGGGGGTGCAGCTCAGTGGTAGAACAAATGTTTAGCATGCAATGAGGCCCTGGGTTCAATCCCCACACCAAAAAAGTGAAGGCTCAGAGACATATCTTAAGTGTCA